TGCTTATTAAACAAACACAAAAATTACGAATGTTTGTGTGGGTGTCTTCCCATTAAAAATCTAGTCAAGTTTTGCTAAAAACACTATCAAACACTTTCTATCACGTTACCAAGAAGTTCAGGTCATAAGAAAAAAAGTTAGTCCCCCCGATAATGCCAGAGAAACAAAAATTTAGTTAAAAAGAAACGCACCGACAGCTCCGTCACCCACGACGACGCATTTGATGGCCTGCATCGCGGCTCGGTCGAATCTGCCAAGCGATTAGGTCTAAAAGAGTTGTTAAACTTGCTAAAATTCATAAAAATAGAGTAGAAAAAGCTCGTTCCAAAATCACGGGTCAATCGGATCCCAAACATCAAGATGGTGTCAACAACCATCGCGGAAAAAGAAAGGCGGGGCACGCAATGAATCGATTTATTCTCGGGGCTCACTGGGGAGGAATACCGAATTTCCGGGGCAAAAAGCTTCGATAAATATACCGCGAATGCAGGAAAAAGATGCACGATAAGAGGTGGGCTACGAAAAAATCCCAGAAAAGCCAAAAAACAGGCTAGTATTCTGGCCGAAAAGCTTTCAAGGGCATTTTGCAAACGGGAGCAGGGAGCATTATATCAAGTACAAGCCCATAAAATGTGTACTTTGCAAGGGCGAGCTCGACTTTGACAAAACTGTCGATCCCCGGGCAGCAGCTCTTTGACGAATCACAGGGTGAGCAAAAAATGGCATTTCACTGGAATATCGCGGAAGCAAGGCCAAAAGAGGAGGGCAAGAGGCACAAAAAACGTAAGAATATCAAGGGGCAAACGGGATACCGGTGCAATTGAATAGATAGACGCCCGGGGGCCGATTAAGTAGCCGTAAACCGTAACTAAAAGGCGTTGACAACTCGATGTGCAGCTCGATGGACGACGAAGTGGGATGATTTCTGAAAAACAACGGTAATTTGTTTGTTGTTTTTGCGTATTTTTTGACGCCCTATCGAACCGGGCTAGAAATCTTGGGAAAAAAATTTCTGAAAGTTTCAAAATTGCGATCATTGTTTGGGATGGGCCTTAAAATTTTAGTATTTTTTCTGCCGCTCTATCGATGTCGTTGAAAAATAAGGAAATCTGGGGCTCTTTCGCACTATGGGCGGGGGAGGAGGGGGGCGAAATTTGTCTATAGATCTAGAAATATCTACTGACTTAATAGGAACTATAACTTTACTGCAACTAAAACACCATATAAAAAGTAGACATTTTGGTAAAAAGTCGGTCGGTTTTGGTCGAAAATCTATATTTTTTTTATTTTTCAAACAACATTTGTAAAGTTTTGAAGTCTAGGAATATTAAAAAGCCGCTTAAAAACCGCTCTCCGCTTCCGTAGTATCCATAGTAATAAAAACGAGAGGTCTTAAGAAAAAAAAGTTGGTTGGCCCCTAATAATGCGAAAGAACCAAATACTAAACTTTTGCCTTTGCATCTTCTATAGGACAATATTGAGCTGAAAAAAACAAGCAAAAAAGAGGAAAATTTTCCTGGCTAGCCGCCTGGGTGCTGGCAAAGGGCCTAACCATCTTGGTGGTCAACGGGGGAACAGTGCTGCGGAAGGGTAAAGGAGCGGGAACCAACGGCGCAAAAGGGTTCCCCCACCCACTGAAAGCACTGGGAACACCCATCAAGCGATCAATGCCCCATCGCCCTCCGCATACCACATACACACAGACAGACAGAGGCACACAACCCGCTGCTGATCCAACGCCCGGGAAAGGAGAGCCGCCAATCGGGACCCCGGTCACAACCATTCATCCACCCATCACCACCACTCAACCACAATTATTTTTGGCACTTTAGAATTTCCGGAAGGGGCAAATTTCTGGCTAAAGGAATTATTTTAGGCTGTTTCTTACTGTTGTCTCTTAACTCTACTAGTCTCTACTAATCTTTAGCGATTTTTTTCGACCAAAAAATGACCGAGTTTCAACAAAATTTTTCTAAGTTTTTAATAAGCTTTCCAATTGAAATATAGGTAAATTTTGCTCAAAAATACTATGCCAAATACTGCAAATGGTCTTCCCTAGAAAAATGAAAACCCCTTGCAGAATCCCAGAATGTTATTTGTAACAGGGAAATACATGGCGCCGATTAAAAGGAACTGGGCAAAATCTAAGTCTATAATGACTATCAGATCGGGATGAGTCACAGATTAATCAGCCCAGCCAAAGAAAACAAAAGTAGCCGATAACCGGAAAGTGCGACGGGTTACTTGGAAAATGGCTACTCCCGATCTTCATAGCTTCTTTAATTTTCAGAAAAATGGGAACTATGAGAATGAAATGATATTTTTCTGAAGAAAAGACGCCCATTGAAGATGAATCAGCCCGGGGAGCGAGACTATGTCTCGAAAGCCATGACAAATAGGGGGCGACGTGACAATCGATACCGTTTTTTAATTCATTTCCGCCTAGATTTTTAACTCAAAGCAGAGGGCTTACCATTCTAAACAGAAAGACCGGCGGTACGACGGCATTTTTGCATCGTTGCGCGGTAGATGAACTGGCGGCGATAGACGTTGCGAACCTAGATCGGCAAATAGTTTGAGCCCCCAGAACATACTTGTTTAATGTAATCCATGGCAGTGATGTTGTGATGCTGGAGAGCCTTGCCTAAAAAAATGAATTCAAAACGCAACGAGAAATTGGATACCTAGTGTGTACACGGTGTCATCGCACGCCAAATCGGCCGCGTAGTTGTCGACAAGCTGGCGATGAAGCGGGGTGGCTGCCTCTGAAAAAATCAATAAGAAACTTTTTACAACAATAAAAAAACTTTTTTTTGCTTTAAACAGACAGAAAGCTATAAATTCAATAAAAACAAATTAATACTCACCAATAGCCTCGTCAATAGGTGGGCCCTCTTTCCCAGCACCACATTCCGCCAGCGCCTTCTCTAGCTCCGTCTTCTTGTCTTGATAAACGAAAATGAACTGCTCGAGTTGTCGTTGCTGGCTCTCCAGGTCCTCTGTAATCTTCTTCAGCTTCGTCTGTCCGGTCTTTAGATCGTTTTGCGTTTGCCGGATCGAGGCCAACTCAGCTTGGCTTGTACCTAAAATGGAAGAATATAGTTCCAATACTCAAAAATCGTTCTTACCAAGTTTATCCCGGAGCTTATTGCGGAATTTGTCTTGTAGAGCGGAAATCAGCGACTGCTTGATGTGGTCGCCGCCGATGGACGTCGTTCGATCAGCCGGTGGTGGTGGGACTGGGGGCGGTGTTCGGGTGGAGCCTAAATCGAGCATAAAGATTTTAGAACTTAGACGCACCTTGATTCGGATATCCGGAAAAGCCTCCACCATAGCCAGGGTAAGCAGACGGGTATCCGGGGTAAGGGTTGGACTGCGGGTATGGCGCAGTGTTGCCTGTTGGGTAGGGAGGCATTCCGGCTGTGCTCGACTGAAAAGGATGAGTTAATCAATGCTTTCAGTAGGTTATCAACAACTCGATCTTTCGATCTGGGCGGAAGTAAAGCTCACAGCTGGATACGGGGTCGTCTGAGGGTAAGGCGTCGGTTGCGGGCTTGGCATTGAAGACACGCTAGGCTTCGACGTTGCCCCCGATGGTTTGGCAAAGACGGGACACTTTTCTTGAAAGACGACCACCATCACCTGAAGAATTAGCATGATGTGCGCTTGTCAGCAGAATCAGAGGGCCCAATTATGATTAGCGGAATAACGGAAAAACAACCCATTATTTACCTGCAATAAACCGTTGAGATCATATCCGGGAAAACGCCAATCCTTCAAATACGGCAAGAAAACGCGGCCCTGGTTGTTGACACTCTCACTTTCGCGAATCACCTAAACATCAATAGTCAGTATTTTGAAGAAAGCGATTACCATATCAGAGGTCGGCGTTACATAGCAGATCGGCGCGTAATATGGGTGTGTATCCCACAGGTACACAGACACCGGGATGTTGTAGCTGACGCCCTAAAATTTGACTTTATTTCTCCGAGTTTAATTTTTACCTTGTACGGCACGGGAATCGTTCCCTTCAACCGGAACGCTTGTCTTCGTTTGCCGTCGGGGTACATGAAATTCTCAAGCTCCGGCAGCAAATCTTTGAACTCGCGTAGGGCTGACATAATGTCCGCCTTGGCCGAGTCGACATATCAAAAAGTTTTTGATAACACCCAATTGAAGTAAATACTTACTTGGCGCTTGCTTTCGACAAGACCTGCTCGACCTGATGAGCCGACATGCAGCCGGGCTGAAAATCGAGAATTTTTCGTTGAAATTGAGGTTATTGCACCAAATTGAAATTTATTTGAATTTGAAGAATGAAACGTGAGCTTTGAAAAATAAAATGATTGCAACAAGATTTAGATTCCGGAAAGTTACTAAACACCGTAAAGGGGAGTGTCTGGTTCAGAGGGATTTGTTGCGAGTTCGGTACAATTCGGATAAGCGGGGGTAGGCGGGGTGGAAACCGAACTTTCCCCCAAGCCTATATTTTTATATAAATAGTGGAAGAGTTTCTAAATTGTTTATAGCTATTCCTACAGATAAAAACTTTACAAACTTAATTAAAAAATTAAATTTTAGGTCGAAAAATCAATTTTTTCGGCCCAAAAATGACCAAATTATCGACTTTTTCAAGCGTTTTCCTAGCTTTTTAAAAAGGTTGTCCGATTCAAATAGGCTTAAATTTTGCTAAAAACAATGTGAAAACACTTTATTTTTGATTACTATCCCCACCAGGGCCGACAAAAAGTTGGTTTCCCCCCCTTATCCGAATTGTACCTAACGTTCTTCAATGGAAATTTCGGCAATTGGTGTAAGAAAAATAAAGGATGCCGGATACCGTAGAGTAAAAAAATTAATTTTATAGATAGTTTAACTTGATGAGTCATATTATTATAGAGAGTTTACTTAGCAAAGCTGTCGTTCGACCTGCCCGACATTTACCAAATTGCGAAATTTCTGACTTTTGGAAATGTTTCCATCGTCTTTTGGCAACCAGAATGCGCAAGAGAATCGGCGAGTTCGAAGATATTGGTAAGTATAGGTATATTGACGATTAAAATTAATAAAATCAAGGATTTAGGCCTGCTTTATCGCATCAGTTTCAACGTTAAAGGGCTGCCGACGGCATGTGTCGATCCCCCCCAACAAAAAAAAAGGAAAAAACAAAAGGGGGGGAAGGGCGCCGGGGGGGGGGGGGGGGGGGTTTTTTTTTTTTTCTGTTTAAAATTTATTGGTGGCCTCGGCATCCCTTTAATGCGTGAATAGCGTAAGGCTGCTGGCCGCCAGGGGTCAAGCTTCCAGCCGTTTCTTCACCCAGTCGACGAGAGAGACAGAGGGTAGAGGACAGGGGCATCGGCTGGCTGTCAGGGATGCGTCATCGGCCCACAAAAGTCGGAGGGGCAGTGTTGTGGGGTGTCGTTCGTAGTCGGCTCCGCCTCCGTCAATAGCCAGCCCGGGGGTAGAGAGAGTGTCCCCATGGCCCCTCCCACCACCACCAACCAAAAGCACAACCACCAATGCCCCTACCGGCTGCCACCTGCGCAAATACATGCTACACCAGCGTGTTTTTCTCATTTTCTCCGGGCTTTGTTGCTTTTGTAAAGGACTGTCGGTTTGGACACGGTCAGATTGTATACGGTAATGAACAGAAAGTGCCAAATAATGGGGTTGACGCTAGAAAAAGCCAGTAAACGGGCATAGGAACGAAGAAATTACAAAATTATGCTTTTAAAACGCCCAAAAACACGGTTGGGTCTCTGCGAAACTTGAAACATTTCGAGATTCAGATATGGTCAATACGAAAAATGTGTATTCGTTAAATGAAGAAAACAAATTATATTTTTAAGGCTATTCCGGAGCATTTTGCGTGCATTGACACACGATCCGTTATAATTAGCTCCGATATTGAGGAGAGATGGTTTTAAAATCGTTTTAATTTTGCAAATATCTTGCTATCTCTCTCTCTCTCTTTCTTTCTCGCCCTCTCTCGCCCTCTCTCGCTTCCTTTGACTATCCTCTCTATCCAAAAATTCCAGGGCCCAAAGGGATGTTCCCATTTTTGGCCCCGATCGGGGCTCCACAATCGCGGCTCCGGTTCGGGGCCCACCCGGAGCGGCAGGTGGAAATCGTCTTCTTCTCCGACTCCCCTTTCGATCACGGGCCCACAGCCATGAGGTTGATGCGACACGGTTGCAGACGGTCTGTTATCGGCCCAGCTCTTTGTATAATATTTTTTATTAGGCGTCGATATAACTATGCAAAAAACTTTAGACATCACCGACTCGTGCTCAATCCGTGTCGCCATCCCGTTCTTCCGGCTCGTTGCGGCCTTCATCATCGTCGACGGGCTCGCGGTCCCCGAAATCATCGCCGGTCCCCCCGCCCGCCCCACCACCACAACCCAGGAATCGGAACCGTGGCTTTGAGACATCCAGTGCAATGCTGGTGGGTTCGAATTAGGGATTTTATAGGGTGTAGATTAAGATATTTATGTTTTAAGACATTTTTAAGGGTTTACCGATTACAATTTCGGAACTGGACTGTTTGTGGGGGGATTAACACGGTGAAAAGTAATTTTTTCCAGTAATCCTAGACGGTTCTAGGACAAAATATAACACAGTTCGTAGCATTTATGCCGTTTTTCTATACAAAAGGTCCATAAAAACTTATAAAAAAGGTTAATTTAAAGTTTCGAATTTTCAAAAATGTCAAAAATGTTTCTGTAACGTTCTAGCAATAAAAAACCCCACTAAAAACATCGCAAAAATACGCAATTTATTATTAACAGGTGTGTCTAGGTGAAAAAATTTGTCCCTCCCCCGATAACAGCCCAGTACCGCAATTTCTAGGAGCTATTCGGCGGCGCCCCGGGTACGTCCGCATTCTCCAAAGATCACGAAGAAAAAGAAAAGTCGGCAACGGAGAAGTCCTATGGACGGAAGACGGTGCTCACCAGCCAGCAACCGCAGGAGAACAACTTTTGGGAGCCAGTGGTGCGTTTCCTACTTTTCCTAATTTCCCAATATCATTTCCAGACGCACGCGTCCACTTCTGGTGGCGGGCTTTTCAACGCCGTCGAGGATCACGACGCCGCATATGAGAGGGCGCTGGCTCGCGGAAAGAGGCGGCCGTTTGAGCCGAGGAATGAGCATATGGTATGTGTAGAAAACAATTATTTACATGTAAGTGAGTCTCGATGCCAATTAAATGAAGCTTCCAAACTGAAATTTCAGGCTCAGACCGAAATTTCTGAGCCTCCGAGCCGCTGCCCGGCCGAGGACCTCGTCACCGATCAGAATATGGAGGAGTTGCGGCGACGGCTTGAGGCCGAGCAACTGGAATGGGGACAGGACGAGGAGGAGAACGAGGATGAGGAGCAGGTATGGCGATTTTCATTATTCAATTGTTTTTTTAGGAGGAGGGCTCGAGAGATCGACGAGCGATGGACGAATGTCCGGCGGCGAGAATTCTGGCCGAGCTCGGGCTGACCAGCGACATCTATCAGAATCCAATCTCTGGTGAGTTCAAAACTGCTTTTTGTTGCTCCAAAACAGCTTGTTATCACGCCCTTTTTAATGTGCTAATTTCTAAAGCAGGTCAGATTTATTTTGCGCTTTTTCAGACCTGTCCCCCATCGAGGAAGTTGATACCCCGGCGTCGAGCAGCGATTGGCGAGGCTCAATCGAGAGTCGAAATGGGCGCATGATGGGCGAACCGGGGCCGGATCTCGGCGGCGACGACGAGGTGATACAGCTCGACGAACAGGTTGGTTTTATTCAGGGTTAAAGGTTCTAAATAGGAATTTACAAAATGTCTAAATTATATCTTGATCGGCCCATATAAGTAGGATTACGACTTTACTCCCATTTCCCTGATGAAATGCACTGGACTGTTAGCGGGGTGGGGCTAACTTCCGTTGTCCGGCTATACCTATTGATAATCTTTAATGTATTTTTATAGTGAGTTTAGAAGGTTTTAATTGCTAGATAATTATAAAAAATGTTTCATTTACAAAATCCAAAAATTTTTAACGTTTTTGGCCATTTTTCATACTTTTTTGACGACAAAGTCAAAAGTTTTCGAAAGATTTCCGAATTTTTTTATAAGCCCTTTATATATAGAACCATTTTACATATTATAAAATGGTTTCTCCATTTTGCTTTAGGGCGCTACGGGATTAATGCGAAAAATTTAGTTTACTGCTGCTAAAAGCCCCCCGCCATCAGTCCACTACCAACTAAATTAGGTGTAATAGCTTTCGGCGCAATGGATTTCTCGGTATAACGCTAAGACCTGTAAGGAGTACGGAAACGTATTTCCCCCTCGTTGGCCATCGGAACGCAACAAGAGCCCCCACCCGGCAATGGGTACTCGCCGTTCCTATAAACAAACATTGTCGGGGGTTAGGGCGAATGGGCAACTCCCTGAAGGCGCCCGTATAATGGGGTGTCTAGTGGAGTGTGTCGTAGTGGATGTTAGGGGGAAGAGGTTCACATTTCCGGTGCAAAGGGCCATATTTCGACATGAGGCCCTCTCCCGTTATAGGGTCGTGTGGTGGTGCATGGTGGTGGTCGAGCAACAGCAGCCGAGAAGTCCCCTCCTCCCCCTGGCAAGGGCGAGAGTGCAGAGGGACCAGCCGATGGGGGCAGAGACGCAGACGAAGCCGGCGATCGAGACGACGACGCCTCCCACTCCTCCTCACATCCACTATCCGGTGGTGGGGACGCGCCGCCGTCGACTGAGGCTTCCGAGATGGCACTTCTTGTACGAGGAGCACAGGTATGGTAGTGTTATTGCATTCTAGGGATTACCGTAGTTTAGGGTGATCTCCTCGTTTTTTTGCGCGCCTCTCACAAGCAGACGTTTTTAATGGCTTCAGGGTTTCAAGTTAGGACAGCACTTACCTTATGCAGAATTTTGCGCTGATTCCGAATATGGCTACCAAAATGAGGGAATCTCGATTTTCTGAAAGTTATGAACCATTTAAGTTGGGAGAAAAACAATAAAAGGGGGTTTTTTTTTTTTTTTTTTTTGGGGGGGGTTTTTTTTTTTTTTGGGGAAAGTGGTGGTTGGGGGGGGGGGGGTTTGGGGGGGGAGAAAAAAATGTGGGGGGGGGGGTTGGACAAATCCCGAGTTGAACCCCGTCGACGGCCATAAAAACTTCTTGTCAGAATACCTCAAATTTTCATAGACGTCTTGAAGTCTCTTTAAAGCAACTTAATTACAAAACGAAATTATAAATTTAGGGTCGAATTTTCACAATTTAATGCGCATTTTTATGTTTTTTTTTGTGATAGTAAGAAAAGATTTAGCTAATTATTTCGCGCTTTCAGGAACGCAAAAGAAGAATTTTCACGATGCATTTTCGGAATTCTATTTGCGTGGCTTCACATTAAGTCAATCAGCCATTTCCCAAATCAATTCCCCAATTTGTCCCCCATTTTCCACACGCTGTTTGCCTAGCCGCCGCGCGGAATCTGGCGGCTTCAAGGAAAAACGAATAAAAACGCAAAAAATTTTTACAGGTGGTCAACGACGACAGCGTGTTCAGCGCCGACGTCCTAGTGGAGGATGGGAAAATTACGTGAGTTTTGCCAGCTATTTTAGATTATTTCGGGTTGATTTTTAGGTTAACAGCAGCGTTATTTATCGCCTTGAATAAAAATCGATATTTTATCAATAAATAATGCCCACCGGGCCGCATTCACTTCCAATTCCCGAGTAATTTGTCAATTTTTCAGCCAGGTGTCGGCAGGGATCGATGCTCCACCCGGGGCGACAGTCATCGAGGCGACAGGTGGGTCCAGCCGGCCATGCCCTCGGGCCACAAAAGATTTATGGCCCTGGCTACGGGGCCTAACGACCGCCTTCAATCCACTTTGATATACCTGTTATTCCAGGGCGTCTTTTGTTGCCGGCCGGCATCGATGTGCACACGTGTTTCTCGGCACCGGATTCGGTTGACGATTTCAAGACGGGCGGACAGGCAGCAGTGGCTGGGGGTACGGCTACGGTGGGTGCATTGGAGCGAAGTGTACTCGAGAGAGAAAACTGGTTAATGCTCATGTAAATAGTATTTTTTTAGGTGATCGAACTGGTATCGCCAAGAGACAACGAGACACTCACCGCCGCTGTCAACCGCGTCAAAAAAGTTCGTAGCTGATTTTAAAGGGGCATTGAAGGCTAAATCCACAGATTTCACACTGGAAAAAGTGAATACCACCGTTTTTGCAGTCGATCGACACCTCGGCATGCCATGTCGGCTTCTCGGTTCGAGTCCGACGGTGGGATGACGGCGTGCGGAAGGAGGTGGAAACCCTATCCAAGCAGGGCATCAACAGCTTTGCCCTCGACCTCGACTCGGACGAGAAGCTCTACCAGGCGCTAGACGCGTGCCGTTCGTTGGGCGTCCACGCGCGTCTGCTGCCCGAGAACCGCTCTGTTGTTGGACAGCTCGAGCAGAAGATGCTCAACCTGGGCATCACGGGACCCGAGGGATTCCTGCAGTCTAGACCCGAACAGGTAGGGTATTTTGAAAGTGGCCTCCATTATTACCGCCTCTCTCTTCTCCCTATCTCTCCCTCGCTCCAAAAAAAAGAATACTCTCTCTCTCTCTCTCTCCCCCTCTCTCTCTCTCCCTCTCTCTCTTTCTTTCCTTCGTTCTCTCTTTCTCTCTCTCACTCTCCCCGCTTAGCAAATGCTAGCCCGGTCAAACCATCTCCCTTGACTCGATTTCCGGTCCATTCCGCTGATGCACTCCTCCGACCAGCTAGAATTCCAAATTCCGGAAGAGCCGGCCCCTGTGTGGGAAGGCCCCAAAATGCGGGTCGCGTCGGATTCGATTTGGGCCCTAGCTGGGCCCTAGTGGCGGGGGGGGCAACGCCAAAGATTTCCGGTTCCTTTTCTAGGGGAAAGGCTGTCTATGGGGTAGAGACGGAGAGTGATCAACAATTCTCCCGCGCTCCGCTAATTGCTTGACGAACGTCTTCGCGAATTTTGGAGGAGCATTAGAGGGGGATGGGGAGGCTGGCTAAAAATACTGGAATTTTGTGGGGGGCCTAGGGGAATTAGTTTTTTTGAGAAGATGCGCGTTTTCAGGGCATATCCTTTCGAGGCCAACTAAAATCCCAGCGCCCAAAATACCGAAACGCGAAAATACCGACAGCCAGAATCCCAACAATATGAAACGGCAGAAAAAAGAAAGAAAAATACCGACGAAAAAACTGTCTCTTTTGACCTGTCTCCGCATTTTGGCCTGTCGGGCTGGTGACTGTCGGGATTCTAGCCGTCGGGATCCTAGCCTGTCGGTATTTTGCATGTCGAGGTTTTACGCTGTCGATTCTCGGTATGTCCGATTCTTCTACGTTGGCTTGTCGGGCTTTTGGCAGTCGGGATCTTGAATGTCGGTATTTTGGCGTTTTCCCCACCTTTCGCAACTTGGCCCATTTGGAATATATTAACGTTCGACACATCGCCACCCTCAAAAAGGGTGCCAAATTATACTGAAGGGGCCTTTTTGTGCCCATCCACCGGGGTCAGGGACCATTTCCTGTCTGGCCTATGTCGGGCCCTTTATCCACCCATACTGGGGTATTCAGAGAGAGAGAGAGAGAGAGAGGGGGGGGGGGAGAGAGAGAGAGAGAGAGAGAGAGAGAGAGAGAAGCAAGGGCAGATGGTTGCTACCCCGGCCCCACCAAGCCCGCCAAGGGCATCAACCACAATTAGGGCCCTCATCCGATCGATCCGTTCTCACATCGAGCAGAGCGAGGGATTAGCACCCCTAGAGGGTTGATTTGCGGCTGCTTGGCTTGGTGCCAAGATTTAGGCAATTAAAGGGGATCGGTATGGAAGTGTGGGTTCTCTCTCTCTCTCTCTCTCTCTCTCTCTCTCTCTCTGACTCACCCTCTATCCACCAAAAAAGGTGAAATGCCGGGGCCGGATTGCGAAACTCGGACACCCCTTTTGAAAGCGTTCCAGGTCCCCATTGCCCGTTACACTTTTGAGAGCCGAAAGGGCAAGTGGTAATTGTATCCGTTCGGAAACCCCCATACACCGCACCATAAGTCTGCAGAAAGTGGCTAACGGCCAAGAATCGTGAATTATATCCTGGTAAACCGAAAGAAAACTAAAAATGACAAATCCAGATCGACTCAAAATAATCTAAATATTTTCCAGCTGGAGAAGGAGCGTGTCTCTACCATCTGCCTGCTCAGCCAGATCACCAACTGCCCGGTGTCGATCCTTTCGGTAGGTTGAGATGATCGAACTTCCTTAAAAGGATCTAAAGAAGGTTCTTTCGCATTATCGGGGGGGGGGGAGCAACTTTTTTCCATGGATCCAATTTTCTAGCATAAATAGAAGAAGTGTTTCTAAACTGCTTTTCCACAAAAAATAGCCATTTTCGACGAAAAAAAACCACCTAAAAACGTTGTCTAATTTTTTGATTGTTTTTACACTTAAAATAATGTTAAATTTTATGGAAAACTATTAAAAATATTAAAACAACTTACTATCACGTTACTAGGGATTTCTGGGCAACACAAAAAGTTGGTACTCCCGATAATGCCAAAGACCCCTACGGAAATTCCGTAAATCAGAAATTTTGAGGTCGAAAATGCGCCACTAAAACATGGGAAAATTTTTGAATTTTGAAAAACCTCGTCTAGTGCAGTCTTTAAATGGATTCTTCTCTTTTCTTAGCACTTCTCTTTTAGCACCACGAATAATACTAAAACGCTACATTCGTATAGTTCCTAGGGGCCCAAACTAGTGGCCCCCGCTGCCAGCAGAGGGCCCAATTATCAATGCATGCCATCGAGCCATCCACCCGAACTGCGGGGCAGCCTTTCACTTTTCTCACCCCCTTTTTGACATGGTGGGGGGTCACCCCGGAGGAAGCGCCAGAAATTTGGGTTATCCCCCAACAACAAAGGGGGGAATACGAAAAAAATGTTAAAAACCAATTGGAAATGGAATTTTTTGAAAACTTCTAAGATTCCCAATCGAGGATGTCTCTAAATACACATACATAAGTCGAGTTTCAACGTTTATAAAATGCAAAATACCGAACAAAAATGGGGCCAACTTACGAATATTTCGATTCTTTCGCATCATCGGGGAGGGAGATGTATCAGGGCGGAAACCCACTTTTTTTTCTTTAGTAGTTAAGTCTTTAATATAATTAAATCACGTTTTTAACATTCTCAAATGTTTTTTCGATGGTAATGTATCAAAAAAAACTCCAAATTTTTACTAACAATACAAAAAAAATCGATTTTTTTTTGACTAAAATGGCAAAATTTTATAATCTAGAAGTTTTTAGATAATTTCCCATGTGAAATATAGCTAAATTTTACCAAAAACACCAAAAATACTTTTAATTTGCTAGACTTTGCTGGACTTGTGCCAAAAAACTCCAATTTCAGTTATCATCGGCGGAGAGTGCGACGGCGTTGAGGGATGGCCGAGATCAAGGAGCCATCGCGCATCCAGAGGTGCGTTTTAGCCGGACAAACGTTGGAATTTTTGTGTATAGGGGGTGGGGGAAAAAAAAGAAAACCAAATGAACTCAAAATCGCCAACATCCTCTAGGTGTCGGCGGTGTCGATCTGCTCGGACGGGACGAACTACTTCAACAAGTGCGCCCGCCACGCTGCCGCCCATATGACGGAGAGCCCGTTGCGCACGGAACACCAGAATCAACAGCGCATGCTCGGCACACTATCCTCGTGCGTTTTTTTTGTAAATTTAACTAACTTTAAACCAACCTTAAAAAAGCTTAAAAATGAAAAAAATTTGAACGTTTGATCGAAATTTTTGTGGATTTTTGTGTTTTAATAATCATTTGTAACGCTTTTACGTTTAGGAACAGAAAAAACAGCTTCATGTATTTATAGTAGAACAATGCATTAAAGAAAAATCCCCCCGATAGCGTACAAGAGCCAAAAATGCCCCAAATATACGTGAAAAACCGCCCGATTTAATGTCTGCATTGAAAAAATAGATTGTTCACTAATTAATTTTATCAAATTAACTTAAAATTGAAAAGATTAAATGCATCAAATTAAATAAAAATGAATCAATTTTCAGGGCACCACTTTGCATGTTCGCCTCGGGCCACAAGGCGCACTCGTCGGCCAGCAGATGCGGCCGTGACTTTGTCGCGATGCCAAAAGGAGTTGCCGGAGTAGCCGAACGGCTCGCCGTGCTCTGGGAGAAAGGAGTCCGAGGTGGCCGCATCGATCCGATGCGATTTGTCGCGCTCTCATCCACAAATGCGGCCAAGGTCCGTTGAATATTCGAAAATCGAACCTCAAATATTTTGCAGGTCTTCAACCTGTACCCCCAAAAGGGACGCATCGCTGTGGGCGCTGACGCCGACTTGGTGCTATGGGATCCGATCGTGAAGCGACGACTGTCGGTGGCCGATTCCCATTCTAAAGCCGATACATCGCCGTTCGAAGGTATCCTATAATATTTTACGCGAGATATCACTGCTTTTAAGGATGTTGTTTCCATTTGGCCGAAAATCACTTTGCCGAAATATCATTGTGTCGAAATTTCCAAGCATTTTCCGCCTCGATCCATCTCAAACATTTCGAAAATTGACTATTCAGCGCATTGAACTTTCGACAGACTGAAATTTCGACAAAATAATATTTCGGCATATTTATTGCAATCAGGTTGTCGAAAATCATTGAGCATCAGGATCAGAAAACCAAAATCATTTGATTTTGAGGTAAATAATAATCGAGGCGAAGAAGGCATTAAAATTTCGACAATTTGAATTTCGTCAAAATGATCTTTCGACAAAAGATTAAAATAACCCTTTGAATCCTTTTAAGGCCTAACCGTGCATGGCGGCGCTTCGATCACGATCGTCGGAGGCCGCGTGGCGTGGAAGGAGGGCGTATGTGGGGAAGGTGGAGGCGCACAGCCACTCGTCCTGCCGCCAAACTCTCCTCATCTGTTCGCCGTCGTGCAAATGCGGGAGCGGGTATGTTATGAGTCGCCTAACGGTTCATGCTAAATGGAATATTTTTTTGGGTCAAAAATTCATGAAAAAGTTCCATTTTTACTTTTTAGCAACCAAAAACGATCAAGTTACTAAAAATTACCTAGTAAACGCCTAGAAATTAGCTACATAGGTATAGGCTTGGTCATAGAAAATTTCCCTACCTTTTTGCTGGCGTAATATAGTCGGATAACGAGCACCAACTTCAGTTGCAGACGTGCGCCTTCGAGAAGATCGAACGGTCCGACTCTGATGTGATGGTGTCAAATGGCGGCGGCCCGAAACGCGAGGCCAGCCCGTATGGGGATAATCAACCGCCGACGGCCCGACCACGCCGTGGCCACAATGAGAGCTCGATCTCGTTTGGGCATCCCGGTAGGCGTTGTTCCATTAGGGCACGGTGATCTGACATCTCCATTTTTCTAACATTTTCTTGTTTCTACAGGTTTTTTACTATTCCTCCATGCGAAAACGTTAATTTTTTTATTAATGACACAAAAAATACAGATTTTTGGTTCTTTCGCATTATCGGGGGGGGGGGTAACTTATTTCTCAGAATCAATTTTTCGAATAGCGGAATAGCGATGCGGAATGATTTCTGAATTACATTTTACTATTCCTTAACCAAAAAACTACGCAATTTCGATTAAAAAATACAAAAAATGTCGATTTTTCGACCTAACCGGCCGTTTTGAACAAATTTTAATTTTAATAGTTTTTCACGTGATCATAGCTAGATTTTCGCAAAAACACTATTAAAATACTTTATGGCCTCCCCCGAGAGCAGAAAAACACCTGAAATCCACTGCAACACCATTTTTCAGCCGACAACACCCCAGCTGCTCGGACTCGAAATCCGCCCGGTGGCCGGACCACTGGACTATGGTAAAACAACAACTCATCAACCCCTTTCATCATCTAGCTACCAATTATTCCTTTCAGTTTTATTGTGTATTTATTTCCGCCATTTCCCCCCAGCTTTCTTCTTCCGTCCCAAAGGCCAAACTATCCCAAATCCATAATTGCTACCGGTCCACCCAAAGATAGCCCAGAAATCTCAACAAACCCCATCCAGCATAATAATATTTTCTTGGGAATCTCGATCGTCTTTTTGGTACTTGGCTGTTAGCGGGGGGGAGGTATTTCTGTCTGGGGAACTAACTTTCATCTTTCCGTCTAGACCTCGTTATTGATAGTATAGAATGTATTTTCATGTTGTTTTAGTGCTTTTTGATTGCTAGAAAGTTATAAAAAATGTTTTAAAGTTTGAATCTTCGAAAATTTGGCCTACCTTGGTCATATTTTACCAAAAATTTCAGCCATTTTCGATTGCTATAACTTTCTAGTAATCAAAAACTGCCATAAACACGAAATATACAGCGAATATCACCAACAGAATAGGCGGAAAAGCAAAAACTATGTATTTTCCCATTGCTAAAAGTGCCCCCCGCTAAAGGTCCAGTACCGTCTTTTCACCCCTAGGCGTTCTCACCGAATTCGGTTGAAAGCCCAAAGCCGTTTAATCGGATCCATAGGATTGTGCCCGAATTCCGTAAAATTTTCCAGTTTTCGGAAAATAATCGCCCTTCAGTTCTTTCCAGATGTGAAAACTGGAAATTTCTGTCCAACACCCTGTATCTTTGTGTCATTCTCCTCTCATCTTCGAGCTTCTGCCCCTTGCAATGCACTTTCCGCTTCCAAATAGTCAGCTTCACCCCCACAGCATTCCACAGTCTCGCCAAAAACCCTCTTCCTAGTGATCCCCAGAATCTGTCACAGAATTCAGTTCCGCCCATGTTAAATTGAAATAAAACGCGTTTCAAACTCGAGTCAAACCAAATCACAGAAGATTCAGAAAACCGCATTGCAAAAATGAAATTTCGCCAAATCAAGCTGATTTTGCTACCAGTGCTTGTTGATTTTCTGCAAATTGTTAATTGTTTATTAAACATGGTGACCGCGTGGAACACGCTGAGGGGATTCCAAAAGGCAGAAGCACCAGTTTAAGAAATTCCATTTGTTTGGGGATAATGATAAGATCCATCGGAAACATGAGTAAGGCAGAGAATAACCATTTTAAACAAGTGTACGTAATCAAATTTGGCGGAACAATGGGCACAAGAGATCTGGGTGAGTTTCAAACAGGAGATCATCATCTAACATAAATAACCGGGATAGTAAAAATAGTTGAAGGGAGGGGGGCAAGTGAAACTTTAGTGGAGCTTGGCCCGAACGCGACAGTCGAGCACGTCCATCAACACCGTTTCCCCATGATCGTCGCGTGGATGGCCGCGGACCACGGACTTTGCCGGAAGTAGGTAGAATTTGGAGCAGATGCTCTGAAAAAAGCGCTCCTAATTACCACAAATAAAGACGTTTCTAACACGATAACTTTTGGTAAAACGGTTCGTAGTATTTCGGGTCAATTTCCGGATGTCCAACAGTCCAGATATGCGTATAATGCGATAGAGAATTTATTAATAGTCCGATTAGGAGAGTTTAAAAAGTAAAATTCTAGTCGAAAACTTGGAATATTTTCGAAAAATCTATTCTGCCATAGTTTTTTTTATGTAAAAAAACGCAGTCAATGACGGTCAGGAACAGTAGTAAAAGTATAGCAACGCTTGTTTTCTTTATATTTAAACAACTGGAGCCTAAGGAGAAAGTGTAGTGCCCTGGCAATACCAAAGAACCATAGAAAACCCTGGAATGCCTGTCATGAGCCGTGGGTCGACAAGAGTCCCAACTTGGCCAAGGAAGCAAAAAAAACCAACCGCAAAATGCTGTATAATCTGGTCGTTAGCAGCCTCCCATTCGGCATCAGTGGCCGCCACGAGTCCCGGCACCTTGTCCCCAGAGAAGAGTTGAAACTTCGGGTCCATCCGAGTCTAAAACACGACCTTAGTCACCCCTATTTTCGTTACCAAAGCCATATTGTCGATGCGGAGGTAGATGAGACGATCCTGGCTGTTGTCATCATAGAACCAAACGGGCACCAGGATACGGTAGAGCGCCTCGCAAGGGAAGAGCTTGCCTTGTGCTGAACAACATGAGGATAGGCAACGCAATAATTTACTTGCCTTCGAAACAATGTGGGCAGAAGGCGCTTTTTACCGCTTTCCGTGTACCGATCGGGATCTAAAATGGAATAATTTTAACATAAATGGACGGCACTGCGCAACAATGCTAAAAATTACCTGCTCAAAGCATTCCGTACAGCGCAGAGCCCATGAGATCATACGCGCCCGCGCGCGTTCGACGAAAGCAGGAGCGCTGAGCAGATCGGAGGCCGGCAGCAACCAACTAAAGAACAATTTAAATTTTTAAATTGCACGAGCAACGCTACTTGTAGAACCAAACGACGTCGCCAACTTTGGCCGTGATGGCGACCAGGGCCTCTTGGTCCCACGTTGGGTCTTGTGTCAGGTCGGTCAGACGACGCAGATATTCGCGTGCTCGCTGCTCCTTGATCAGGTTGATCAACTGTAACGAAACAATGATCGTCTAAAGTGAGCAAGGTTACCCTGGTCTCTGGGGTGGCGTGGTCGTTCTGGTCGAACAAATTGACCATTGCGCGCTTCGCTTTTTCGAGTGCTGCTCCTTGGGAGGCGAGGGAATCGGGAATCGACTAAACAAAATATTCAAAACCGTTAAGAAACGAACACTGGCGCTGGCCTGCGACTCGGTCAACTGAGCTTGCGTGGATGGTCCGGGCCCAAGGTTGCGCCGTTTTGCCGGAGGCGATCGGGTGGGAACGGCCGGCACCGCAAATGTAGAATCACGCCTGTAAGGAAATTTGGAGTATGGTAGCGAAACTAGGATCAAACCTGGCAGGTGAGTTGGCATTTTGCGTGGCTGGCTGCGGTGTGCTCGACTCCTCAGGTTTCCTAAACAAAGATTCCTACGGCCCGAGACTGATATCCTACACCAAAATGCTCTTCCTAATCGGAGAATTGGTGGTCGACGATTGGACGACTGGCGGCGGAACCGGAGAGGAGGGGCCTTGCTCAGTCGGGGGACGACTTAAAAGAAATATAGTAAAACGCCTGAAATTACCCGCGTGTCCCGGCATCGCTCCAAAGCGGTGTCGTGTTCAAGCGGCTTTCCTGAGACTGGAGTCGTCTACTGAAAATACAACGAAAATACAAGCCTCGAGAACTAAAACAAAAAAAGGTTGTGGCCCGCACCTTGGGGAAGCGATTTCCTGCTTGACCAACATAATAGAGGGCTCGGCAACCGACGCATCGAGCGGCTAAACCACAGTTTTAAAAAGAATTGGTTTAAATCCAACCTGAACAGGAGGTGGTTGGTCGGCGGGTGCGTTATCGCCATCGGCAGTTTCCATCGTCTCATCAGGCTGCGTCTCGAAAGCCTGCATCTGAAAAATAAAAATTTTACATGGTCAAGGGAACCCCACCGAAGCGAATGGAACGCTGACAAGAATAGGGCCCTACCATGACCGTGTCGCCTTGCCCATCCGGGTCTGACATCATGCTGTCGTGAGGAGCAGAACGGCCCTCCACCATGAATGGGGCGCACAGTTGCAGGCAACGCCGTTGCACCTCGCAGGCGACAGGGTGTGCTTCGGGACATTCTATCTCGAGAATCTTCGATGATGTGCCTCCTCTAGACCTCGGCGTCATTGGAAGTCGCAGATAGGCAGCTGGAAAGAAGCCATGGAAGCCATATGATCCAACCGATATAACGAAACTACATTATGCTGAAAGCAATAGCACCGAAATCCCAACATGCCGAAGTCCATACGCATAATCATTTTCCTTTTCCCCCCCCCAACAACCCTTGTTTTTGGGGCTTGGGGTTTTTGGTTTTTTTTTTTTTTTTTTTTTTTTTTTTTTTTGGGCCTTTCCCCCCCCCCCCCCCCCCCCCCCGCGGGGCGCCCCACGGTGGGGAGGTTTTTTTTTTTTTTTTTAATTAAAAAAAAAAAAAACCAAAAAAAAAAAAATTTCTTTTTTATTTTTTAAATTTTTTTTTTTTTAAATATGGGGACGCCCACCGAAAAAGGAGGTTGGTTTTTTTTCTTTAGGATTAATAAAAAATATTAAATTTGAAAGGGAAAAGAATCTCTTAAAGAAAAGAAAAAAAAAACAAAAAAAAAAAAAAAAAAAAAAAAAAAAAAATTTTTAATATCGAAAGGTTTGGCCGGTTCTTTGAAACTGTCATAGAACAGTAATTGGTTAATGGGCTACGGTTTTTTTTTTCCCCCCCCGACGGGTTTTCGGTTTAATTTTTTTTTTTTTTTTTTTTTGGTTTTTAATTTAAAAAAATTATTTTTTTTTTTTATTTTTTTGGGGGGGGGGGGGGGGGAAAAAAAAAAAAGAGGAAAAAAAAAGAAAAAGGGGGAAACCGGGGGGGGGGGGGGGGGGGGGGGCCCCCCCGGTTAATGACCATTCAAATAGCTGTGCCCTGGATTTCGGCGTCTAGGATTTCGAGGCTTGAAATCTTTTCTACGGGTTTCTGTGCAGCCTCCGGTCCCGCAAACGCACTTACAATCGGTCGACTGCGTGTAGCGGTAGTCGACGTTGTGCAGCTCGATGAAGGATCCAGCCTACAATCGCGGTCATCAAACAGCAAAACCCAATACCTGTATGTATTTGAGGTCCTTGGCGTATTCGTAGAGAAACACATCAACACACCGTCCACGTGACGCCTCGAGTACATGCTCAGGGGCCCAGCCCTAAACAATATTCATCGTAAAAAATGCAATGAGCCACCTTTTCCTCTAAAATCTCATCGTCCTTGACCAGGCTGAGCCTCAGGTCCATGCGGCGCGCCATACGAAGCATTTCATTGCTGCAACAGATCTTACATCAAAGGCCTGCAGCACAAAAATTTTGGTACAAAGTCATGCTCAGGGTCTTTCGCATTATCGGAGGGGGATCCAAAAATGCCTAGTAACGTAATAGTAAGCGTCTTAAGTGCGTTTGCAAATTTTACTAAATTTTAAGTGGAAAAAAAATAATTTTTTAGCTGACATTTTGGTCGAAAAGCGGCCATTTTAGTTAGAAAAATATTATTTTTCGTATTTTTCATCAAAATTTCTACAATTTTTACTTTAAAAATAGTAAAAAGTAAAAACGGCGTAGAGATTGCCTGCTCCCAACAATGCGAAAGAACTTATGTTCTTCATTTTCGAAGAATCTCGAATAAACCAACTGAAGCTCGGTTCCATCCCAGCATCGCAACACCGAAGATTGACGCTCCGTGATGAAGGTGCCAACAACCTGGACTACCAAATTCGCAAATTTGAATGGGGCGAATCGATTGAGGGTTATCTAAACGAAACTCAAAATTGTTAATGAAAACTTACAAAGTTACTAGCAACGGGCGCTGGCAATTCGGCATGGCTAGATGACAATTTCTTGCGATATTCGACCAGAGTCTCGAACTAAATGAAGATCAATTAGACCTTTATATGCAACTTTGTTACCATTTGGCGATCCGCCTCCACGATTGTTGGATGCTCAAAGTTCGAATAGGTCCATTTATTAAGATCATCGGCATCGCTGGCGTAGATCAGCACGGATCCATTGCAATTTGTGCTTCGGAGCGAGAGCAGGTTCTCAACGTTACGAGTGATCTAGAAGGAACCCAGTTGCTGCAAACACCATGAAAAGCTCACGGCGGCACGATGTAGCCGGATGATTGCCCAGGGAACAATATGCGCCTCGATATTCTGAGCATCCGGCAGTTCCTTCGCATTCTGTCCCACACATAACTCGAGCGAGCAGCCACCAGCGGTATTGTCCAAAATTCGGCAGACAACTCTTCCTAAAAAAGGTTTATATCTTATCTTCCTCCATCCAAGGTCTTTACCGAAATCAAAAAGCCGTTTACCTGGAACTGCCGGTCCGGTCTTTCCGTTGCGCGGCTCCTTTCTCTCAACGATTGCCCAGACGTTCAACTGAAAAAGCTTTTTAATGTAAATTAAGAACACTCACAAGTGCTTTCTCCCCGACCGTCGGGAGATCTGCGATTTTTGTGTACTTTATGAGACGTGGAGTCATCTAAAATACAACGTTAGATAGGAACCGCGCTGAAAACAGCGAAATGATGAGAATAATCTCTAAATGACACATTTTATCAGTATGGCTTGCTTTACAATTATAATTTTAGTGGGACCGGGTAATTCAAACGCATTTATATGTCGTGATCGACTCGGACGCGCTATAGCGCGGCTTGGATGGTGAAAGGGCAAATGGTGAAAAACACCATCCCCAGTTCAAGCCCCCGCGGTAATAAAAAAACGAGATGTTGGAAACCACCAAAAGTCGAAATTCGGAATGCCCGCTGCTCCGTGGCGCTACATTTACGGATTTTGTATGTACGGTGTTCAGAGGAATTCCGGAAATCGGAAAACAATAAAAAAATACTTTGAGAGCTTGACAATAAAGAAATTAGAAATATGCAAGAAATTACCCTTCAATAACTGGCCTTACCGATGGCCTCAGATACCTTCCATAGCCAAAATACCGTTCAAAAACCACGAAGATACCTTAATGATGGCTTTAGATACCTGCCATAACCGAACCTTCAAAAACTACTAAAATCATCGCTGTTCATCACCAAATGATGAATTAGTTCTTCTCCCCTCGCCATTAGCGGAAGCCGCCGGCCGTTCATATTATTTGCTTATGTAACAGGTGCCCGGCCGCCAATTCCCGGACTCGCTTCGATCCATTCAGGGTTTCCGAAATGCTTTTGCTGCCTTTCGAGTATGTTGTTGTTGTGGATGGCAAAGATCTTTGGATGGAGCCTACCCAACCCCAGTATTTGTTCAAATCATTTGACCAACCAACCGGTGGCCATCTATTTGTCTATCTATCGGATCCAATGGGGTTGAGGCGGTTACTTCCAGTTGGTTGGCCCAACTTGGCTGGTTTTGGTGGTCCTCCGAAGGACTTACGTATACTTAGTAGGGAAATAGTTCGCTTCTGAACTCTGTTTTAGCGGGGGCACTAAGCTTTTTTTTTTCAGCCTAGATCGAGCTGTTAATAATATAAAATATATTTTTATTGTGGTTTTAGTAGTTTTTTGATTACTACAAAATTTATAAAACAATGTTTTTCTTATTTAAAAACACGACAATTTTGACCTTTGTTGGTTTCATACATTTTTGACTAAAAAGCCAAAAATTTTGGCACATTTTTGTAATCATTTTTAGATCTAAAACAGACTGAAATACTATAAAAATGGTTTATATTTCGTATCGGGCCGTACGGGATTACTTGGAAAATTCTGTTTCCTCCTGCTAACTCCCCCCTACTAACAGTCCAGTACCTTTTAACTGTAGCGAGGCCTTGCTCCATCCATCTGAATGTTCCAAGTCTGACTGCAGCCCACGACGCTCCCAGGCTTCCAGTCAATCGTTTCATTGTGCGGGCCATTACGGGCACGAGGGCCAGCTGTTGGATGGAAGTGCCGATGACCCTCGTCTTACACATCGATTCGCCGGCTGCGGATAGCGAATCTAAGCACCACGTGTTTGGCAACACTGCCTATTTTTAGCCGCCATTGCCGTATCATATTCCTGATCTTCTAAATGTCTAGCCTGCCTTTTCACTCAACGGCTCTTTGCCCGGGCCGGCGAATTTAATTTCCGGCAGCCTGTCTCTTTTTTATATATTTAACTACATGTATCGCACAGTATTTCGGATTACTTCCTCATCTCCCTGCAATAAGATAGTAAACATTTGGCGACGCACGCAGGGATGACCCTGAACCTTTCAGCCCCATAAATTTCCCGGTTTTCGGTTCCTTTGCCCCCATGCGCCCCGGACATCCTGTGACTACATTTTTTCAAAGGCGCCCAGAGTTCGGCTGTTTCGTGTCGCTATTACTAGTTGATGGACTTACGGCTCTTTTGCATTATCGGGGGGGGGGGCGGACCAATATTTTGTCCTAGGCTCCAATTTTTCAAATATAAAAAGCGGAAGTTTTTCTAAATTGTTTTATTATTATTCCGAAACGTAAAAACTTTACAATTTTTATTAATAAATACTAAAAGTATCGATTTTTCGAGCAACAATGGCCGTTTTTTGGCCAACATTCAGACGTATGAAATTTTTGGAAAGTTCTTAAATGTTTTTTTTTAGTTGAAATACAGTTATCTTGGGTAAAAAAGAATTAGAATATTCCAAAAAAATTATAAAATTTTCGCCCCACCCCGATAATGCGAAAGAACCCTTTTTACTTTTCAAATCCTCTTTTAATTGAGACCTTCCTTTCTTATTCTTTCCAACATTTCAGCTCCAAAATGACTGATGCTATCCTGATCAAAGGAGGCACCGTGGTCAACGATGACGAGATGGTGAAGGCCGACGTTCTGGTTCAGGATGGAAAAATCGTAGCCGTAGGCCCGGATCTCCATTGTGAAGGGGCCACCCTCGTCGATGCTGCCGGCCGCCTGGTCATCCCCGGTGGCATCGATCCGCACACCCATATGCAGGTACGCCAAAATTTTGCCTAGCATTCGAATGCTTTCAGTTACCGTTCATGGGTGAAATCGCAGTGGATGACTTCTACTCGGGCACGCGAGCCGCTCTGGCCGGCGGGACGACGATGATCATCGACTTTGTCATCCCGGCCAAGGATTCGACACCGCTGAAAGCCTACAAACAATGGCGTGATTGGGCCGATCCAAAGGTAAGGAATTTTTTTTAAAAAATGGTATTTTATTTTAGGGGGGGGGGGGGTTTTTTATTTGTTTTTTTTTTGGGTTTTTTTTGGGAAAGGGGGGGGTTTTTTTTTTTTTTTTTTTTTTTTTTTTTGTACCAATTTGTTAAAAAGGTTAGTGTTAGGGGGGGGGGGGGTTTTTTTATTGTGTGTTGGTTTTTTTTGGGGGAGGGGGGTTTTTTTTTTTTTTTTTTTTTTTTTGTGGTGGTTATAGTTTGGACATCTTTTTCGAAAATGTATGAAAATGACCACAAAGGGTAAAAATTTCGTATTTTCAAGATTTGTAAGTTTTTGAAGGCAAAAACTACTAGTAATACCATAGAAATACATTATAGAGGGGCCACGAAAACGAACTGGTTAGGCAAAATTTGACAAAAGGGGATTCAGACCCAAAAAAAAAAATCCGAATTATGCCCGGAGGGGATGGGGGTTGGGGGAAAAAAAAAAAAAAAATTTTTTTTTAAAAATTAAAAAAATTTTTTTTGGATTTTTTTTTTTTTTTATTATTTTGGATTTCCCCCCCCGACCCAAATTTTTTTTAAAAAAAAGGAAAATATGGTGGAAAAAAAAATAAAAAAAAAAAAAATTTATTAAATTTATTAAAAAAAAAAAAATTATTTAAAAAGGGGGGGGGGGGATTTTTTTTTTTTAAAATAAGAGGGGATTGGGTAAAAAAAAAAAAAAAAAAAAAAAAAAAAAAATTTTTTTTTTATAAAAAAAAAAAGAAAAAAGGAGGAGAGAAAAAATAAAATTTTTGGGTTTTTTTTTGGGGGTTGAAACCCCCCCGGGGGGAGAGGGGGAGAGGAAAGGAAAAAAAAGAAAAACAAAAGGGTTTGTTTTTTGGGGACAAAAAAAAAAAAAAAAAAAAAGAAGGAAAGGGGGGAAAACAAACAAATATTAGTTTCTCCTGCGAAAAGCCCCCCCCCGCTAGAAGCCCAGTACCAAAAAACCGCTCCTAGGTCTGTTGCGACTATGCCCTGTCGATGGCCATCACCACCTGGAATGACTCGGTCTCCAAGGAAATGGCCGAAGTCACCAAGCCGGAATACGGTAGTTTACTAGACTATACTCCCTTAATAATTCGTTAGGCATCAACTCGTTCAAATTCTTCCTCGCCTACAAGGGAGTTTTTATGGTGCACGACGACGAATTCTACCAAGGGATGCTACAGTGTGCCAAGGTAGGCAAAAAAGAACAAAGAAAAAAACCCGTCCAGATCGGCGGTATGGCTCGTGTCCACGCCGAGAACGGGCCCGTGATTGCGGAGAAGGCTAAAGAACTGCTGAGCCTCGGAGTTACTGGCCCTGAGGGGCACACCCAAAGTCGCCCCGAAGAGCTCGAGGCCGAAGCGACGAATCGCGCTTGTGTGCTCGCCTCGCAAGCCAATTGCCCACTCTACGTGGTGCATGTGATGAGCAAGGGGGCTGCACGCGCAATTGCCCATCATCGACAGCGAGGTTGGATCAGACAATTTTTTTTTGATGAAAACGATATTCAGGAGCCGTCGTCTTTGGTGAGCCGATCGCCGCTGGATTGGGCACCGACGGCTCGCACTATTATTCTGACGACTGGCTTCATGCTGCCCGACACGTTATGAGCCCGCCGCTTAGCCGAGACCCGAGCACGCCTGAAGCCTTGATGCGCCTGTTGGCTTGGTGAGTGGAAGAAGCAGAGCCTCGGAAATTTTTATTATGGTCAAAACTAATTTCTTTCCGACGGTCAATAGCAAAAAAAATGTATTTTTATAGCGTTTATAGCGTTTTGCGTTTTTTTTGGTTGCTAGAAATTTGCAAAAAAATATTTTAAGGTTTTTCAAAATTTGGAAGTTTTTTTTATGAGCTTTTCACATCTGAAAAACTGTCAATAATAAAAGAATGGTTTTGATTGTGTTATAGGATCGTGCATAATTATTGAGAAGAAGTAGTTTCCCCCTGCTAACAGCCTTTTTGACCCTTGCCTTTGGAAAAAAATATAATGGGCGAGTATAACGGTAAATATATTTAGCGGTGAGCTCCACCTGGTCGGAACCGATAACTGCACCTTCAACTGCCAACAGAAATTAGCCGGGAAAGACGATTTTACAAAGGTAGGAGACACTGCAAGGCAAAATATTTCCACTTCTGCAGATTCCAAACGGAGTAAACGGGGTCGAAGACCGGATGGCTATCGTTTGGGAGCGTGGCGTCCACCGGGGTATCATGGATCCGATGCGTTTCGTGGCTGTGACTAGGTGGGTTAAAGATATCGGCATTCCAAACTCCGAATTTTTAGCTCTCAATGCGCCAAGATCTTCAACATGTACCCGCGAAAGGGCAGAATCGCCGTCGGTTCCGATGCCGACATTGTTATTTGGAACCCTGACGCGACCAAGGTCATCTCAAAGGTAGGTGGAAACAGATAAGTTTTAAATTTTCACAAAAAAATTGAAAAAATTTTAAAAATAGGACACCCATCATCAAGCCGTCGACTACAACATTTTCGAGGGCCAAACGGTGCATGGGGTAGCGGAAGTCACGATCTCTCGCGGCAAGGCAAGTCAAAAAATATCGGTACACTAAAACCAGACTGAATTTATAGATTGTTTGGCAAGATCAGCGCCTCTCCGTCGAGGCCGGGGCGGGCAAGTTCGTGTCGCTGCCCCCGTACTGCCCGTATGTATTCGCAGCTTGCCAGCAGCGCGAAAAGGTGATTATTGCAATGTAAACGACCGTTGGCACATTACGCCATAAAACGTTGGAATTTTAGGTCATCCAACCCCGCTCTGTCAAGCGAGAGCCGATTGCTGAAATTGAATCGCTCAAGATCACCGACAAGCAGCAGACCACGAAATCGAAAGTCCCACCCGGCGGCGGCTCCCAGATTAGCTTTGCCTAAAAAGTATACGCAGGCTACTGGACAGTAGGTATCAATCTTTGACAGAGAATTTATGCCTTCACAAAAAGTGATAAATTATTGCTCACACTGCGTGAACAAACGATTGCATTCTATGTACAGGGTCGGGGGGCGAGAGATGATGCGGAAATGGCACAATCATAGGTGACAAGACAGAAAAACGGAAACTGAGACACGCGCAATATGTACGGGAATTCCAAGGGCGACCGGGTATTCAAGTAGATTATGAGAGATGTGGCAACGTCGAGATATTCACAGTGCCTTGTAGGCGACGAACAGTAGCACAAACATGAGGAACACAGCAACGCCAAGCACGAGCAGCCGATTTTGGATCACCCTGAAAAGGGAGAGATTCTCGGGGGTCAGCTTGCAGATCGGTTGTTGTCCGGGGGATCCAGAACGTTGTTGAAACTGGATAAGATGTTTTACAGGCATTTTTGAGCAACAGCCAAATTCATCAAATTTTAATTTTCCAGTTTTTTTTGACATTTCAAATTTTCCAATTCCAAAAACCAGCAAAAGCACCCACCATTAAATCTTTACGTATTCTAAGTGTAAAATAATGCTCTCACCTTCTGATCATGATATTGAGCAGCCGCGAGCTTCTACCCAGGTCGGAATCAGCTTCACGTAGGCGATCGCGCGATCTACCGATCGATTCGCGCTGCGTCGAGAGGTTGTTGAGGACATCGTTGCCAATCTAACACAACTCTATAAAGGTCCTGTCCCACTGCGATACCTCTTCGGTCTCGACGACCATCCTATAGGCGTCCTGGATCTTGCGTCCCGTCCGCTCCAATCGTTGGGTGTTGGCGATCAGCTGATCTTCCTGCGCATCGACTGTAGCGCCTTCCTCCATCGCGAAAAGCTCGTTACGATCGGCACTTTCGCGCGCGCGCTGCACCTAGAAAAATAATTTTGTTATCCACACACAATTCTCGGAGCACTTTTTAATCTCTAAAAGGCCCACCACTCGATCCAATTCGGTGTCCAATTGCTTCTTGTCCTGTTTGTAACTACGCACCCTCATCTCGAACTTTGAGCGTTCGGAACTAAAACAAGGCTTGCACCATCAAAAAAACAGTCAAACCTTCCGGCTGGCAAATCGCGCACAGCCAATTCCATCTGCTCCAAAAGTTCGGTGACCTGAAGATACACCATAAAAAAACTAATTTACAAAAGCGTACCTGGGCCAGTAATTTCTTGGCATCTCTAGCAATATTCGGCCTTTCACTTGCCTCAGCGCGCTGAAGCTTGGCGATACTGGCAGTCACCTAAAAGAACATTCCCATTAGGTTTTTGCAAATTTGCAAACCTCGGCTGTTTGGATGGAATACTGCTGCTCATATTCGGCAAGGTGCGAGACATCAAGTGACATCTAAAACCCCCCAATTCAGTGAACGTTTAAAGGCACCAAGGAACTGTATAAAAGATTTACAAGAAACTCGCGGTTGTGAAATGCCTTTGATATGCGGTGGCGAAATACCTTCAGGAAAGTTCATAAAAATCTACACAAAAGATTTATTCCAGCCTAATACACTACAATCTAGACTAAAACGAGAACTACAAAACGAAGAAACAAACAAAACAATATACCGGCATGGGAAAGATCATATGAGCAGAGAGTAAACAGAAATCAGAAAAATTAGCCTCGATAGTGGGCAAAGGCACGGTTCGCTTCGCAGAGCTTGTGCAATTCCTGCTTCACTTGGATCGTCGCACCCTCATTGTTATAGGCCGACAGGAATTCGTTGGCTAGGTAGTCCTGAAAAAAATATTTGAATGGGGGAGACATAACGGCACTGAACTGCCAGTAGAGGGAAACAAAATTTTCCGCAGTAACGCTGTACGGCCCTAAACTAAATTTACACCATTTTTAAAGCGCAAGCAATAGATACAAAACGCCCGCAAAATTATAAAAAATTTGCAAATGTTTCACTGTTTGGCCAAAAACGGGAAAAACTTCAAAAAATGAAGATTTTTATAATTTTACAGTAATCAAGAACCAGAAAAAAATACAAAATTATTGGCAGGTTTAGGCGGAACAACAGAACTTAGTTTCCCCCAGCCAACCGTCCAATACCCACATAATTTAAACCGGAATCCGCTCTTGAAAATCACCTTAAAATGCAGCACTTCAGAATGTTTTGACTTCCCGCGGCACACATCGCGCATCATCTTCATTGCCCGAAATTCCGCCTCGTCCTCTTCGATCGGGAAGGGCACTTGATAAGTTGTTCCACCTAAAAGCGGTATTCGACGAAAATACATAAAAATTTATCGCTCTTGAAAACGCCACCCAATATCCCAAAAACACAAAACCTCGGGTAACCGGCATTAGCTTCATCAAAGGGCGACAATTCCGGATTGCTGCTTCCGCCACCTTGAAAGGATCTCGCTCCACGTTAGCCTAAATAGAGGTAAAAACGAATGAACACGGGTCTACCTTTTCCTCGGGTGTCGGCGCATCAACCCACGCCTTATATTGCTTGCGTTTGACCTGGGAATGATGAAACTGAAGAAAACAGGAGACCTACAATCTCCAAGGCAGAAAGCACATTATGCCTGGACGTCTCCTTTTGTCCATCCTTCATGCAAACTCGCGTCAACTTGTCGACAACATGGTTTCTGAAGCCTGTTGCGAAAGAGCGAAAGTTTAATACCTGTAAAAGACGGGCGTGTCATCGCTTTCCATCGCCTTGATGTAAAGGAAGTTGCGCTCATCTTCGGCAGATAGGGGCTCATTTATCTAATTCAATGGTTAGGAAGAAAGCCGTATTATACCTCTTCTAAAGCCACGAGCGGATCCCGGAAAACCTTTGCGTCGTATCGTGAGCCAGCTGTGGCCGTGCTGCAGATACCTCGGTCTGCCACCCGGCCTATTGATGTGATGACCCTTCGGAGAGCTAGCCGCATCTGCAAGTACCACTTTTATAGGAATCATAACATCTAAAAGCTCCACTTCAAAGCAAGAATTTTTCACTTCAAGAAAAATCTGCCAGCCACGTTTGTTGTCTGGGCACGCTTTCCCCGAGTATTTAGTACTGGTCCGTAGCTATAGTCATTCATTTCTGCAGTTTTTAGCAAAACCAGACCAAAACAATGTGAAATCTCCTCTTATCTGCTCCAAAGTTCGTAAATACTTTAAAATTTTTTTCAGGTATGTCGGAAAACAGCATGGACTCGGTGGAGAGCGAACTGGGCACCGGGTTACAGGTATTATGAGGCTTATTTTGCTAATTGATTGATTACCCTTTTAGTCGGCCAGCCAGCCTTTGTTCGTCGCCCCTCAGAACCCGGTCGCCGATTCGAAGGCGTGCTTGGAGCGCGTTCGCCAACTAAAACGAAAGGTGATCCATAAATTGTGTTATATAATGGCTCGCTTCTAGGCAAACGAACTGATCGGCGACCTCAATCAGATCACGAAAATCCAGGAAACCGAGTTGTTGCAGAAAAAGTGGGGATTTTTTTTGAGTACCCTATTATTTATTTTAGAAAACGACGAAGTGCTGTATATTTGGACGGGTACAAGCGCCGCCTGGACACGTTTCAGGTCGGTTTCAAGTGAACCTTAAAAATTTGAAATCTTTTAGAGCCTCAACTGGAAATTTGTGCCAGAATTGCCAGCTCGTGAATTGGCTGAAAAGGGATGGCAGATGAAAGGCATCCAGTATCGAAAAGTAGATCCTTATTTTTCAGGCCCTGAATCGGTGGAGTGCCCCAGCTGCTCTCGCTTTGTTTCCGTTGTTTTACCGAATATCGTCGAGGTCCCGATTACGGTGTACAATGCATGTATTAGGTAATTTTTGCGATAAAAGGCCGACATGGCAAACGGCCGGGCCGCCGGCTTTTTTCGGCCGGCAAAATTAGCATGCGGCCGAGCCGCGCGGTTTGGCGGAGTTCCGGTCCGGCCCCGGCTTTATGTTTGAGGCCGGTGCCCCGGCCAAGCCGCCGGCTTTTGAAAAGCCGGAAAGCCGGACCCAAATGAGATTTTCGCGTTTCCGGTACGCAAATTGCGGATTCAATCAATAATTAGCTTTATGGCAAGAGAAAAACTACTCCGCCATAGAAATTTGGTCATTTCCATTCACAATTTTCATAGGGTTAACGGATTCTCATGTAAATTAGCAACTTCCGGTTACCCGGCTCGGCCGTACCGGCTTGGCCGGGCCGCAACCAAAAGCCGGCTGGGCCGGGAAGCCGGGTTTCCGGAAGTAAGTCACACGCGGCTCGTATGGGGCCGGGTTTTTATGGAAATTGGGCCGGCGGCTCAGCCGTGCGGCTAGGCCGGCCGGGATTGCCATGTCTGATAAAAGGCAATTTTCCTTTCAGTCATGTCCGCGAGAAATTGACAACCGCCCATGAGAATACATGTCTTTTCCGCTCGCCTCCAGTGGATTACTTCCCGGAGTTGAGGTATGGCAGTCGGATTTTGGTTGATCTCGATGTCTAGGAATTCCCCAAAAAACCTGAAGAAATTTTATCAAATGTCTCTTGATGCACTGCGACGGGTCGATTTTGGCGAGGCTGCGGTAAGGAACATTATACCTTTCGCTAACCCATTTCCAGGGTCATTTTGACGAGTTGGATCCATTCATACGGGCAATCTTCGGGGAATTGCGGCCAAACGAGTTGCTACCGGCCGCGTATGCACTTTTGCACTGGCGCCCGAAAAGCGGGACTTTGACTAGGTGAGAATGATTTTATGTTTTTAATTTTATTTTTTAACATTAAGATTGGAATGCGAGCTATGCGCCAGGGACCTTACACCAAAAATTCTGCCCGACTTTTCGCACCCGTCATCCCAGCATTACGCTTGTTGCCCTCTACTCGACAAGGGTGAAGATGGTGATACGCCTGTCTGGAAGGAAATGGCGCAGCTCTGTGTGAAACCAGCTGAGGTAGTTGGTTTAAGCTCGATGCTCAGTAATTTAGTTGGAATTTTGATGTGTCATCTTACTCATCCATTTTAGGGAAAGGTCATCGCCGATCTCTACCGCGTCGAGACGAAGATGTCGAAATCCCTCTCCAATTCTTCGCTGAACAACATCTGATAGCATCGTAACATATCCTACCCGATCCTTTTTATCACCCCAACTTGTCTTTTCGTGCTTTCCATTCGCTAGTACTTCAATAACGAGTATAAAGAGTTTTGCTATCTCGTCCCCGAGCCTCCGAAAGCGTTTTGGCGTAGTTTACCGTTAAATAGGCGTGCTTCAGGGATCATTCTTGAGGTTTAGAGTCCAAAATGAACCGGCGTGAACGGCCCGAGCACGTCTTACCCCCTGATTTGGTATTGCTTATTGGCATTCTTGAAATTCTGAAAATTTAGTACTACAATGAAGACGAGGCCGCGAAGTATACCGCAAAGTTGGTTGCTTTTTCGTGGCCAATGCGTTTTACAGTTCCCACATCATCTCGATCCAAACCGACATGTCTGAACGAGCATTGGAGCTTTTGGCGCTGCCGGCCGAGAAACAGTGCATGTTACTGGATCTGGGTAAAACGAGCCATACCTTTCCAACATTATTTTTAGGTTGTGGTTCCGGAATCAGCGGCTGTGTGCTATCAAATGCTGGACATACTTGGATCGGACTGGATATCAGCAAACCTATGCTTAGTAAGTTGTTGAAATTTTTCTGTGCTCATCCTAGTAGATGAGATGCTACCCTAAATCCTTCAACTAATTATTTTGCTTAGTGCTCTGTCGTGAGGATGAGGATTTCGATGGAGATGTCATCCACAAGGACATGGGAACCGGTCTCCCGTTCCGGCCCGGCGCATTTGACGGCTGCATCTCGATTTCTGCGCTGCAATGGCTTTGTCACGCCAATTCATCCGATCAGAAGCCAGCCAAACGACTATCCCGTTTCTTCCAGTCGTTGTATGGATGTCTGGTAAGTTTTTTAGAGGAAGGAGAAGAATTATCAATGTGCTGAACTTTCGTTATTGACGTGTACTTTCAGGGCCGAGGCACCCGAGCCGTTTTTCAATTTTACCCGGAAGATGATCGGCAAACGGAAATGATTATGAGCTTGGTAGGCTTTAATTCGAGGATCCTAACTTTCAAATTTAGGCACAAAAAGCCGGATTCGATGGTGGCCTTGTTGTTGATTTCCCGCATAGCTCAAAAGCCAAAAAGTAACCCGTTTCTCGGTTCAAAACTTGTTGTTTTAGGGTCTATCTAGTGCTCATGACGGGCGGCATGCAAGCCATGCCCAAGGCATTGACAGGAGACGAAGAAGTTGATCAAGTCAATCGCCAACAGGTGGATGTGGTTGGCAGGCGGTAAGGTTAAATTAGCGCCTTTTGAATTTTCTGTTTAGGGAATTCGTTGTGCACCGGAAGAAGAAAAGGGCGGCAAAGGGGAGCAAAGCCTGGATACAGAAGAAAGTGGAGACGGCAAAGAAGCACGGAAAGTAAGATTATTGCCACTTTCACCCAGAAAGCTATTTTATAGCAATTTCACCGATTCGAAGTTCAGCGGGAGAAAGCGTAAACCGAGATTCTGACCTTCGGAACACTCAAGTTATTTAGCGTTGTTGATTTTTCGGATTGCATGGTTGTTGTTTTCAGGAATAAAGTTTGCAAATGAACTTTGGGCCAGTATCTGATTGGATAGGAAGCGAAGGACAAGGCAGGGGGATTAGTTTTCAGGGCCGATCACTTTGGATAGACAGAGTAATAACTATTTCCGGGTTCCAAGCGAACTCTTTCTTTGTTATCAAATGCAGGGCCCACAAGCTGATTTGTCGGCGGTGATAAGGGAGGTCGACGGACTTCTCAACGCGCCGTAAATTTATATAGTTATTCAAAACATTGGCTGTTGTTGACATGTCTAATTCGACGACGATCGCGTCAGAAAAGTTGAAAAAGGTTTATTTTTCAAGATGTTATGCTGACATTTTTACCTTTAAAAATCCCCTTTCAGCCAAAGACTTGCGTCGACAAAAACTTTCATGCACTCGTGATTATCGTGGTCGTAAACCTTTCTAATATTCTGTTGGTAGTGGTGAAAGGTAGACGGATATTTTCAGTGACTAAACAATCTCCAGGTGCTGTCGCCTATTCCACCGGTTCTTTTTCGATTGGCCATTCGACGATTGAATCGTTTGGTGATGTGTTTGTCGGAGCGCTGATCCTTGTTTCCAGATTACAGGTTTACCATTAATTTTGTAAAATTTGGGAGAGTCTAATATCTGATGATTATTTTCGGCATTTTTGGTTTTTTTTTGCATTATCGAGGGGAGACAACTTTTAAAATATTCGATTTTTCTAATAGAACAAACGGAATTGTTTCTAAACACGTTTATACGATTTTTAAAC